TATCTCGAGAACCCTTACTCGTAACAATTTTTACCAACAGACCTTTTTTACGTAAAAATCGTTATAAATGAACAATTTTTCACTCAGTAGTTTTATAGTACGTATACTCAGTAGTACGGACGAAAAGTTGTTACTCTTCAAAACATTTAAAACACGTGTATGTGGCGCCCCCTAGAAATTGGATTTATATTGACATCAAAATCAAATTTCTCATATCAAAAATCTCCCAGACACCAATTTTCATCACAGTATTTACGTTACTTCACAAATTATTTGGAAAAAATCGAAATAAAAAAGATACTTCTACACCCTGTATCTCCGAAACTAAGCATGTTAGGACATTTATACGAACTTTTTTACTTATTTTTATCTGCAAAATATGCTGCCAAAGTTTCCGGAATCACCCCGTATGTAAAGGTCATATTGAAGAAGAATCAAAGTATAAAAAAATAAAAAAATTTAAGCGTAGTAATTGTCAAATTTGACATTTTCAAGAATTTTAAAATTCGAAAATTGTAAACTGGATGAGTCACTTAAAATAATTCTAAAGATTTCATTTTTAAATGCACTGTATATCGAAAACGGTAAGTGCAAAGTATACTAAACTATATATTTTTGAAATTAGCTAAAATATGTCTACCGGACCATGCTAAAATATGTGGGGGTTTCCATTTAAAAAAAATCAAGATGGCGTCGTATCTGTCAAAATTGACGTTGTAAAAAATTTTAATGTAGAAATTCGGCGTCCTCGCGAAAAATTACATTAAAATATCTTTTTACTATCTTAAAATAGAAAAGAGGAAAATTTTAAATTGGGTGAGACACTTAAAATGATTCTGGAACAATTCATTTTTAAATACACTGTATATCGAAAACGGTAAGTGCAAAGTATACTAAACTATGTATTTTTGAAATTAGCTAAAATATGTCTACCGGACCATGCTAAAATATGTGGGGGTTTCCATTTAAAAAAAATCAAGATGGCGTCGTATCTGTCAAAATTGACATTGTAAAAAAATTTAATGTGAGAAAATCGGCATCCTCATGAAAACTTACATTGAAATATCTTTTACTATCTTAAAATAGAGAAGAGGAAAATTTTTAAATTAGATTTGAGACACTTAAAATGATTCTGGAACAATTCATTTTTAAATCCACTGTATATCGAAAACAGTAAGTGCAAAGTGTACTAAACTATATATTTTGAAATTAGCTAAAATATGTCTACCGGACCATGCTAAAATATGTGGGGGTTTCCATTTTAAAAAAATCAAGATGGCGTCGTATCTGTCAAAATTGACGTTGTAAAAATTTTAATGTAGAAATTCGGCGTCCTCGCGAAAAATTACATTAAAATATCTTTTTTACTATCTTAAAATAGAAAAGAGGAAAATTTTTAAAATGGGTGAGACACTTAAAATGATTCTGGAACAATTCATTTTAAATCCACTGTATATCGAAAACAGTAGAGAGTGCAAAGTATACTAAGCTATATATTTTTGAAATTAGCTAAAATATGTCTACCGGACCATTCTAAAATATGATGGGGTTTCCATTTAAAAAAAAATTAAGATGGCGTCGTATCTGTCAAAATTGACGTTGTAAAAAATTTTAATGTAGAAAATCGGCATCCTCGCGAAAAATTACATTGAAATATCTTTTTACTATCTTAAAATAGAAAAGAGGAAAAGTTTAAATTGGGTGAAACACTTAAAATGATTCTGGAACAATTCATTTTTAAATACACTGTATATCGAAAACGGTAAGTGCAAAGTATACTAAACTATATATTTTTGAAATTAGCTAAAATATATCTACCGGACCATGCTAAAATATGTGGGGGTTTCCATTTAAAAAAATCAAGATGGCGTCGTATCTGTCAAAATTGACGTTGTAAAAAATTTTAATGTAGAAAATCGGCATCCTCGCGAAAAATTACATTGAAATATCTTTTTACTATCTTAAAATAGAAAAGAGGAAAAGTTTAAATTGGGTGAAACACTTAAAATGATTCTGGAACAATTCATTTTTAAATACACTGTATATCGAAAACGGTAAGTGCAAAGTATACTAAACTATATATTTTTGAAATTAGCTAAAATATATCTACCGGACCATGCTAAAATATGTGGGGGTTTCCATTTAAAAAAATCAAGATGGCGTCGTATCTGTCAAAATTGACGTTGTAAAAAATTTTAATGTAGAAAATCGGCATCCTCGCGAAAAATTACATTGAAATATCTTTTTACTATCTTAAAATAGAAAAGAGGAAAAGTTTAAATTGGGTGAAACACTTAAAATGATTCTGGAACAATTCATTTTTAAATACACTGTATATCGAAAACGGTAAGTGCAAAGTATACTAAACTATATATTTTTGAAATTAGCTAAAATATATCTACCGGACCATGCTAAAATATGTGGGGGTTTCCATTTAAAAAAATCAAGATGGCGTCGTATCTGTCAAAATTGACGTTGTAAAAAATTTTAATGTAGAAAATCGGCATCCTCGCGAAAAATTACATTGAAATATCTTTTTACTATCTTAAAATAGAAAAGAGGAAAAGTTTAAATTGGGTGAAACACTTAAAATGATTCTGGAACAATTCATTTTTAATCCACTTATATCGAAAACAGTAAGTGCAAAAGTATACTAAGCTATATATTTTGAAATTAGCTAAAATATGTCTACCGGACCATTCTAAAATATGATGGGGTTTCCATTAAAAAAAAAATTAAGATGGCGTCGTATCTGTCAAAATTGACATTGTAAAAAATTTAATGTAGAAAATCGGCATCCTCGCGAAACTTACATTGAAATATCTTTTTACTATCTTAAAATAGAGAAGAGGAAAATTTTTAAATTGGGTGAGACACTTAAAATGATTCTGGAACAATTCATTTTAAATCCACTGTATATCGAAAACGGTAAGTGCAAAGTATACTAAACTATATATTTTTGAAATTAGCTAAAATATGTCTACCGGACCATGCTAAAATATGTGGGGGTTTCCATTTAAAAAAAAAAAATCAAGATGGCGTCGTATCTGTCAAAATTGACGTTGTAAAAAAATGTTAATGTAGAAATTCGGCGTCCTCGCGAAAAATTACATTAAAATATCTTTTTTACTATCTTAAAATAGAAAAGAGGAAAATTTTAAATTAGGGTGAGACACTTAAAATGATTCTGGAACAATTCATTTTAAATACACTGTATATCGAAAAACGGTAAGTGCAAAGTATACTAAACTATATATTTTTGAAATTAGCTAAAATATGTCTACCGGACCATGCTAAAATATATGTAGGGGTTTCCATTTAAAAAAATCAAGATGGCGTCGTATCTGTTAAAATTGACGTTGTAAAAAATTTTAATGTAGAAAATCGGCATCCTCGCGAAAAATTACATTAGGAAATCTTTCTACTATCTTTAAATACCAAACAGGAAAATAATAAATCGAGTGAGACACTTAAAATGATGTCCCTGTACCTGTGATAATAAAAATAAAGATGCTTACCGTTTTTGCCTTTATCCCTAAGTATTTGTAGTTTAGACTTTTGTTACCAAATTAATTTTATTTTTAAACATTATTATTTAATATATGTACATACATACCATACATTTACGTTATTTTGATTTTTTTTCTTTTTAAAATTGGGCCAAAATTAGTATCTTTTAATAAGTAGATATAGGTATAAATCATGGACAAAGAATACAAGGTATGATCGATAGCGGCTCCAATTTCGTTCAGTTTGCGCATACCACCTGTGACGTCACTAGGAAAATAATGAATAAATAAAAAACATAAAGAAAGTTGACAGGAGATCTGCATTTTTTGGGGTTATGGTTAAGAATTGTTTATTTTTAAGACTTTTTAGTTCGTTTAATTTAATAATTTCTAAAACCAGCAGTTCCAAAAATATATTTAAAACTAATAATTATCTATTAACATGGATTTGGACGATAGGTAAGAATACTAAATTTATTTCTATATTCGGTATAAAATTGTTTATTAGGTTTTTAGTTTGCGATGTTTATGGTAAATAATTTTCATTTTCATTGCCTCTGAATTCACATGAGGACAGAGTTGAGGATATCTATGGAAAAGTAACCACAAGAGGAATTGTTACATCATTTAAAAAATATTGGGAAGTTTATTGTTTCCCATCGAAAAGTAGAAAATGCCAATGCAGATGAACGTATTGTAATTGTGATAGAAGTAATTCTAAGGGTGAAGTTTATTATAATTAGTGGAAGTAATACCAAGGGTGAAGTTTATTATAATTAGTGACCTCTGCTTCTTTTTATATGTAGAAGTTTCTGGTTTTGAGAATAAATCGGTTGAACGACACCCAAAATTTAAAGGAAGTATTTGCATACCCAGAATATGCCCATCAAGGATTATATAGCTCAAATTTCCTTTAATGGTAGGCAATTATTCAATGCAAATTAACTTTTTAAGTGACTAAAATATTAAATAGTTTACAATATGGTATATCACTAAAAATATATTACTTTTAGGTACAATTAGGGCCCGATACATTTCAAAAAGTAGAATATTATTTTATATTAAATGAGGTATTGTACTAACAATCAATTTATTTAATAACGGAGATTAAAAATAACAGAATAAATAGTTCTTTTTTTCATACTACAAAAATAAACTATAGAATACAACAGTATTCAAAAAATAAATAAAAGTTATGTCCCAGCCGAGATTCGAACTCGGTCTCTCGCTTCCTAGCCCGACTCCTTACGCACTGCTCCACAGTAACTTGCTTAGCGATAATTCAATGACGGTATATAAACAAAAAAACAGGTTTATAACAATATCTTGACGATTTGAATTGGCGCGCGGAGCGTGCTGACCAATAGCGCCTGTTATCACCTGTGACGTAGCGACCAACCTGCGCAATATCATACCTTGTATTCTTTGTATCATGGGTATAAATTATATTCTACTTTACTCAATCGAAGATAGATATTAATGATAATATACACGGTAAAAATACTTATATTGGCGTTTTAGTTACAATCGGCCCTATGCAGTAAGGACATTGACTTTAATGTCAAGGTTGAAAAAATTCCAATAAATTTTGACTTTCATATAAATATTTAAAAAAATTGGTATGCACTAACAAGGCTTGACTAGAGATTATTGAAAACAAAATTGATTGAAATTAATTTCAAGTTTTCATTTGGCAACGTTGTATTTTGTATGTCATCGAATAAAAAGAAGAAAAATATTCTCATTTTTCGCATAACCTAACTTCTATTTTGTGTTTTGTAAGGGTTTGTTTGTTTATATGAAAATCAATCAAAGGTAAGTTGCTTCTTTATTAATTAAAAGTTATTAAATTTTGTTAATGAAATACATGTTTCGTAATTTTTGTTACATATGCCACCAAAAAAGGCTAGCAGTGAACAATATAAAAAATTTAATTGAAAAATGTGAGTGCCTCAGGTGGGGAAAAGGTACCCCCGACATAAAAAAAATGCGTGGGAAAATATTGCCCTGCAATTAAATTCATTAGAAGGAGTAGAAAAAAATGGGGAAGGGTGGAAAAAGGTAAATAACACCACAAACCCCAAATTAAGAGTACATTTTTATTTACTAAAATCATTTTACTTGTAATTATTTTAATTCTGATACGGGTATCACAAGCTGGCTGTTGTACTTTTTGTTTATCACTACATCTGTGAAAATTAAATAATTTATATTGCTCAAGCTAAGCTTAATTGGTGCTTCATTTAGAATGCATATTGTGGGTACTACATGATTAAAAATATATAACATTGTAGGAATTAACATTCACTGAACTAAAATCACACATTAAATCAAAAATTAGGGGAGGAAAAAAATTTGAACGAAACAGAAAAAAAATGTGCAGATATAATGGGCATATTTGTCTCTTGTTCGGGGATGGCACAAGTGCCAGAGCTAGGATTAGAACTTCAAAATGGTAAGCTGTAATAATGTTTAGTTGCAAATAACAATTAAGTAACATTTAAGAGGGGCTTGTCTCAGAAAATTCCGCAAGTTTTCATGCTGATGTAAAAGGACTTTTGGTAGCAGATGAACCAGAAGTCCACGCAGGAGAGGATCCAGAAGAAGAAAATGGAAATTTTAAAGCTACTGAAGTAGCTCCTCAGTCCGAAGAACAGTCTGAAGCTATAAAGCTTGAGGTGGGTAACAGAAATACACCAAAAGCATTGAAAAAAAAGGCTACCAAATCAACTCAACAATTATATATATATATATATATATATATATATATATATATATATATATATATATATATATATATATATATATATATATATATATATATATATATATATATATATATATATATATATATATATATATATATATATATATATATATATATATATATATATATATATATATATATAAAACTTTGTTCCAAAATAATTTAGGGATTTATCTCATGAGTTACGAATCGATGTTTAGATTCTCTATTTTTAAAAAACTTAAAAACTAAACTTAACAAAAATTAGGTTTTAATTAGAAAAATTAAATATAATAAATGAAGTATGAAGTGTAATTGTTGCTAGTGTGAAGGCTTAACTCTGACAAAAGCCTACAAGAAAAGAATAAAATATAAATGAAAGCGCTGACACAGGTTAATGGAAAAGTCTCTGGTTACCATTTAAGGGTGGCTAAGGGGTCACATAACTCATGTTACATGTCACTTTATTTATTTGCTTATATTTGACCTTTACTTTTAATACATTTGTTAGTCACTAATTATTTTAAAGTTCATTATGAAAGTAGCTCTATATATTTTAGCACTACTAGATGAGCATATAAGAACAACCAATAAAGGCTTGCAAGACATAGCTGTTTCAATTCAGGCGGTGGCTGATGCAATTAATAATGTTGCATCAGGGAAACCAAAGAATCAAACTGATTTATGTAAAATTTTATTGAGACTTTTGCTAATTTTTTATTTATAATTTTGTTCTATACCTATTTTGGAGTATTTTGTTTTTTTATCTTATATTTTTAGAATTTAGAAGTATTACTTTATTTTTATTTTGGTTTGTTGGTATTTAATATTTAAGAGATATTTTTGTTGTTATTTTTTTTAAGTATAATATACATACACAGAATTTATTGGTGTTTTATTTATAGCTATTAGAAAACAAAAAACTACGTTGGGCCAGTATGAACTGTATCTTCAATTTAAAAAGTTGGAGCACACAAATGAAGCTTTTGAAAATTTGTGTCGACAGTTGAATAATGAAAAAAATGCTCCAATAAGATCTACTGCTAATTGGAAAAGGGTAAAAAAATGTCCAGTTTTCTTTTTAAAGCACTAAGATATTTTTATAAGATCTTTAGTGAATGGGAAACCAAAGTGAAAGCTAAAGCTAGAAGAATTCACTTTGAGCAAGAAATTACTGGAGGTAATAGAAATTTTGTCAAATCTGGAAAAAAAACTATTACAGATTTTATCAAAAATTTTAATTTATGGTCACCCAGATGTTATTGAATTAGGCTTTAAACAAAAAAATACTTACATGAAGGGTGCACATATAAAATCAAGTCAAAAAATATTCGAAAAAAATACAAAAAAAATAGGTAGGTACCAAATTATTTCTTATGCTTTTCTTATTGGAAGATTTTTTTGTCAATTTATTTTTAGTGGAATGTTTTGAGCTAAATCCGATTTTACTGACAGAATTGAAAAGAAATTTAAATTGCATTATGATTTCTATAAGCAATTTAAATAAAGCTCTTCAAAGTCTAATGGAAGCACACAAAAAAATATACATTTTTATTTCATTTAATTACGATGTACATTAAATTTATCCGTTTTATATCCATACATTAAATTTAATAAAACTAAAGTTATACAATTATTTAGAAACAATAATTTTCAACGACCCTGATTCTGATGTTACGGCCTTCTTGCAAACAATTTCTTTCCATCCGATTTAAATATTCTTCGTTTATATTCTCATTATCATTATCTTCTTCATTTTCATCACCAACATCTTAAATCAGTTTTTCTCAGATAACATAACCATAAAACTGAATCTGTGCAACTTGCCATTACAATCATCCAAATTTTCATTCCGGTCAATGCATAAATTGTGCAGGATAGCAGAGGAATATATAATTTTCGCAGACCGCTGCGGAGAGTAATGCAACGTCCTGTGTTTAAGACAGCATCTAAATCGCTGTTTTAACAGTCCATTGGTTCTTTCCACGGTCTTTCCACGGTCTTTCTGATTTATGGCGGCGATTATATTCCCTTTCATTATTCGTTACAGGATTGGCAATTGGTGTAAGAAGCCATGGTTCCAGAGGGTAACCAGAATCTCCTGCAAATCACAATTAATATGATAACTAATCAATAGGTCTCTTCAAGGGCCTCTTATTTAAATAGGTTTTTAAACTTGACTTTGGGAATTGTTTCTTGGACGCGTATATGTAAGCTCACCTAACAAATATGTCAAATTGTTTCTATTTTGAAAAAAATTATTGGCCAAATGTTGCCTAACTAGTGATGTCTGCCATATGGCAGAATCATGAACCGATCCTGGAAATCTGGCATTAATATTCAAAATTTTTAATTTTGCATTACAAACCTAAAAATTGAAATTAATGTAACAAAACTAAACAAAAAGTATATTAACATTTTTACTTACAATCTGGACATTTAAACTATAAAATTGCTTTCTGCAATAGAATATCACCCCAGGCATTTCATGATCCTCCGGTTTGGGGGCTCATATTGCTATTTGGGTGTAATCAATACACCCTATTATTCCAGGAAATGCACCCATTTCCATAAACCTAGAAATGCATACAAATATAGGGTAGCTACCAGGTAAAATAGTACCTGTAATAGTAATAGTAAAGTAGTAATAGTATTATTAAAATAAGCAGTTTAAGATTTGTTTTAAGTAGTTAGGTACCGTATTATTGAATAAAAACAGCGTCAGCGATGGCTATGAAATAACGATCGATAACATTTCCCATATAATTTTACATATAAAATGACAGCGATCTTCATTTCATAGCCATCGCTGACGCCGTTTTTATTCGATCATACGGTACTTATTTTAATGTGCCGCTGTAACTAATAATTTTTAGAAAATATTTTCCAATCCAGTTGAATAAATTAATAAAAACTTACAATTGCTTCTCCCGATTCTTTTCTTCCTCAGTTTCAGGAAATTTTATGATGTATCCAAGTATATCCACTATAAGATCGGTTACTTCTGAGAGACATCGGCTAACAGAAGTCTGGTGCATGTTAGTTAAGTAGTCCTGACCTATTCCTCTTTGATAAGATCCTTGAGACAAAAAATGTAAAGATGCAAAAAGCTAAAATATTATAAATATTTATCTAATTAACAAGGAAAACACTTGTTTAAATACCCTTAGGGCTTTAGGGCTGGCTGTAGCTCTCGGAATCTCGCATATGAGGTCCAATCTGGTTTTATCACCACTGACCTAATTCCTTTGATACTCTATAAACTTCTTTAAAAGTTCTCTCAGGTAAAGATAACGGATCACTTAAATCTCTTAGTTGTCTTCGATGTATATTTCAATCGCGTCTAGAAAAGGAGTAAGTTGCAGTTTGTTATATTTAAATGTATCTTTTTTTTTTCTTTGGCACTATACTACAGGCCATAGATATACTACGTAGGTAGTAGATATACGTAAATGTAAATCTATGCTACAGCAGGATGTAAAGTTAAAGTTTGATTAATTATCTTTTGTCGTTATTAAACGTGCTACCTAGGTATTATGAAATTTTCTGGAGCTACCTTTATGACGTACTGGCAAAGGATCATTAAACAAATTTTAGGTAGGGAGGTAAGTAAGTATTTGAAGGATCAACATTTTTAAAGGGATCAAAGGAGAGGACCACAAGATTTCGTTTCTATTTATAGGACGAAGCAAAAGGATCCAGCACGAATCCAGTAATAAATTTAATGTACTTACCTCCGAATTTCATTTTCAGTTAATTGAACATACAAAATTAAATCCATTTTTATGTCTTTTTTTTTCGAAAAACTTGAAACAAAGAAGCAAAACACTACGTGACGTCAAAAAACAATTTTTTTAGGTTAGTTATTTGAATTTGAGATCATTTCAAATTTGTTATCGGGCTAGTTTTTATTTACGTTAAAAATATTGACTTTTTTCAATCTTGACTTGTAATTTAATTTCAAGTTTTCCCTTAGTGCATAGGGATTCTTGAAATGTACAAGGTCGCTTGACTTCAGGTCAATTTCTTGAAATGTCTTCATTTCAGTTATTGATTAGAAGGCCATCCTGCATACCAAATTTCAACATTAATTGAAATTTCTGTCAAATATCTTTTTTATGTCATAATTTCAACCTTGACTTCAAGTCAACGTAGATACTGCATAGGGCCGAATATCTAATCGATATTTAAACTTCACGTAAAATTTCAGGCGATTTAAGGCCCCTGAAAGCAATTATTCCTAGGATTGTATGGGTTTAACGCTAATAATTCCATGCTTTCCTTTAGTTGATTTTAAAATGGGCAAACATGTGACGTATTCCCGCGCTGATCTCTCATTGGTCGAAAGTTACCGAGCAACCTAACCCATCTAAAAACTTTGCACGTGGTTGTCGTCAGCTGTTCGAAAAAAGGTAAATGCGCAAACTCATAAAACTTATTTGACAGATGGTCATCACGATATGGGTCGTTTTTGGTCGGGGATTCCCATTTGTATTTACGTTAATGTTAACTAAAAGTGAATTTTAAAAAATGAGTTCTTCAGGAGATACTGAGAATGTGGAAAGTGATTTGTTTACAACCAAAAAAGAGAAAAATACAAAAGAATAAAATGTTTAAAACATATTGGTTAGATGATCCGTTATTTAAACCTTGGTTATTGGCCGCTATTAATTCGAAATACAAAGCAAGGTAATTACGTATGTCCAATTTTTAGATTTTTTAGTTTTATTATTAAAAGGTTATACCTATTTGACACATTAAATTTTTAGATGTAAAGTTTGTAACGTGATTATTAATTCCGGAAAAAGCGAATTGCAAAAGCATGCAGCAACCCGCAAACATACAGATAAAATGAAAACTAAAAGAGACTAAAAATACAGTTCAAATGTTTGCAGCAAATAAGGACAATATTCATGATTCCAATGTGAAAAAGGCGGAACTTAAATTAGCTGCTTTTTTTGCTGCAAATAATGTGGCATTTCGATTAATTGACCAATTAGACCCAATTTTGAAAGAGATATTTCCTGATAGTAAAATATGTCAAGGCATAAGTTTAAAACAAACTAAATGTACGGAGATTATAAGAAATGTTTTATGTAAAAAGGAAACAAATGATTTAATTAGTTACCTGAGAAAAATACAGTTTTCCGTATTATTAGACGAATCAACGGACATTTAATACGGGATTTTAAAAGTTTGGCTGTTCTCGTTCGTTATTCAAAACATGGACGAATAGAGACTAGACTTCTAGAGCTGATCAACAATTAGATGCAAGAGATTTAGGAGCAACGCATTTATATGGGGTTTTTCAAGCCTGTTTGGAGAGACATGAAATGCCCATGAAAAATTTAGTTGGTAGGTCTTATAGTCTTTTATAGGTATTTTTTCGCTTAAATAGGTTTTTTTAAGGTGTTGCATGTGATGGTGCCAGTGTGATGGTGGGGAAGCATCATTCCTTTTTTAAATTATTACAGGACGACGTACCACATGTAATTTTATTAAAATGTATATGTCATTAGTGGCGTCTAATGCTTGTTCATTTCTTCCTCGATCTGCGGAGGAATTACTGCGCAATGTATATAGTTATGTATCAGGAACTGCAAAACGGTTCGCACAATTACAAGAAATGCAAGAGTATTTTGGAGAAAAGAAACATAAAATGCGTATAGTATACTTGAATACCCTAGAAAATTATTTTACTATTGCAGTCTACGAAGACAAATAAAAAGTGCCGAATTAATTTTTAGTGAATTAAAAAATGTCTATACCAAGTCATATTTATTATTTTTAAAGTATACTCTAAAAATCTTCAATACCTTTAATACTCTTTTCCAAAACAGAAAACCGCTTATTCATGTGTTATATACTGAGTGTATCATGCTAATGAAACAACTATGTCGAAATTACATCCAACCAGCAGTTCTCGCCGAAGCAGATCTATCCAAACTGAATTTAAAAAACCCTAGAATATTTTTGTCATTGGAAGAAATATACTTAGAGGCAGAATGTTCCGAACTTTTAAAAACCACCCCAGTAGAAGGCAAAGAAACATTTATTAAAAACTGCTTAAATTTTTACATTGAAGGAGCAACAGATCTACAGAAAAGGCTACCTGATGCGATATTTAAAAATATGGCATTTCTTAATCCTACTGTAGCCTTTAAAATAGATGCTTCAGCAAGAAATAGTAATTTTGAAGAACTAATTAATAAATTTGGAAGTGTCATTAACATTGACAAAAGTGACTTGGGAGTTGAATGGAGGAATTTAATAGATTTTTTTTTAAATCCTTGGAAATAGATAAAATATGGTCAAAAATATCTTCAAAAAAACGTTTTGATAACACTCTCGCTTTTCCAAATTTATCACAACTTGCTAACACACTTTTAATATTACCCCATTCAAACGCCGAGGCAGAGCGTATTTTTTCAATTGTCACCGACACGAAAACAAAAAAAAGGAGTAGATTAGCGGAAATGTCCTTAAATTCCATATGTGTATTCAGAAGTGGAAAAGAAGTTACGGAAAATGATGTACGGTAGTATCAGATAACGGAGGACCTTCTGAAATTACATAACGTAAACATGTATTCTTTTAAGAACAAACATTCATAAGCTTTTACTAATTTGTTAATTTCCTATTTTCTGTAGGTATTCTGTATAAATTTATTTTGTTAGTTGTGTTTACATTTATATATGATGTTTTGTTTGTTTTTTTTATTTATGTATATGTTTATACTGTTTTATGTTTTGAGATTTTATAATGCAGAATACACAATAAAAAAGTGGCAATTTTTCGTATAGTCTATTGGCAACATGTGATGGCATTGAAAGCAGGGAAATTTGGTTCTAAATAGGGAATTTTTAGCATTCAGAAAGGGATTTTTTACTCTGAAAGGTTCGGAACACTGCCCCAATATAAAAACTTATCCGTCAATCGGCTCTGTAGCCACTCCCAATATTTAGTGCGACCCGCGAAAACAAGTTTTTGACATTCGACCGGCGATTGTCTTCGTTACTCGTTACGTGTTTTATTCGAGCGTTGTGATCAGCTGATTTTTCTAACCGATAAAGCTTTGATTGGTGGGATACTAAGAAAACAGGTAAGATGCTTCAAATTTTCTCCAAGTTTGCTTACATGAGTCCATGTTATAAATGTATTTGCATATTTATGAATCGGTATTTAGTTTTCTTGTATTCATAATTTTTATTCTTAAACTCACTTTTTCAGTAAATATGGGGCGAATAGAAACAGCTGTTTCTATTCACCTTAATTCCAGTAACTATTTTATATTTGTTTGTTTCAGAATCATGCCACGCATATACAAGCATGATCCTCGTTCCAAAATGTATAAGAAGCATGCTCGTGCAGACATAGAAGCCGCCCTTGCCGATTTAAGATCAAGAAGGGATGCGAGCAAAAAATACAAGATACATTATTCAGTTTTGTATAGGCACGATAAAAAATCAAGGCGGACAAACTGTCCTAACAAATGAAGAAGAACAGCTGATAGTAGACCAGCTTGGGCAAGTTTTACCTGTTATTGATGTGGAACATCCGCACAGTTCCAAAAGAGAATATCTTCATTTCCCAGTTAACCAAAACTGCCTCGAATAAAATGCATTTCAGAATAATTTGAAACTCAAGTAGCTATAGGTACCTACGTATTTGTTATAATATTAGAATATTTGTGGGATTTTTTTACGGATATTTCCGGAAAGGTTTAAAATTTTTAATTTTTTTAAAACGGGATCGGATATTGTGCAGCACTAAAATGCCTACTATTTTGCCTCTACTTTGCCTCTATTTAATCAACCTTGTAACTCTTACCAGTTCCTAGATTTTAATGATAAAGATCGGATTTGGGCTACTCTGTACTTAGCACATTAAATAAAAATTATTTTGATATTTTATAAGATATAAGTATTGAATATATTTTAGGTAGCCCGTCATAGTGAAAAATTCACAGATTTTGCAACATGCGCAACCATCATAGGTGTATTAAAAATACCAGACACAAGTCGGCGGTTGTCGGCAATCACCTGTTTTTTTTACATTTCATATTAATTTGTGACGTCATTTGGAAGAGCTCAATAGAAATATAAAAGAACTAAACCTTGTTTGAAAAGCAATTTGACATTCGTGACGTCAGCACTCCGGCAGTCTATGGTGCGTCCAGACCTGACGAGCCGAGCGCGAGACGAGAGCAAGACAAGAGCGAGACGAGAGCGAGACATTTTCTATCCATTTGTTACGCAAACCTGCCACGAGACAAGCCGAGTGGGATCATAGTAAAAGGAAGCCAAACATATTAAATTGCAATTGAATATAACAAACGATGGCCAAATAATAACGCATACAGTAATAAATTTTTGTATCTTTAATATGGTATTCGGTCTTTAACATGGTATTTATCTTCGGTTTTCCCCCTTTTGGCTGTTTTCCCCTTTATCCCTTACACGACGTTTTTTACATAATACGTTTTTTAATGTTTTTAGAACAAAATGTTAAATAGAAAAGTTATTGGTAAGGTTAAGAAGCACATTTTAACATTACTATAGAGTATACAGGGTACTTCAAAAAAGTGTTGTGGATATAACATATTTTCTAATGGGAATACCCTATTTTTTATTTTATTATTGGGTTATACATACGTACAATTCGGTAAATTTTCTTGCCATTTTTTGATATTATATATCTAAATTTAATACATGTTGTAATAATTCAATTTGTTTAAAGAAATGTTGGGTTTCGGTAGGGTAAAAATTATCAAAAAAATTATGAGTGACATAAAATTTGTAAATTCTATCAGAAAAAATGATAATACATACAGTGTACAGTGTACGATTTAAAAATTTGAGATTACTTAATTTTAAACAGTCGAAATTTATAAATCAGACCTAATATCTCGCAGTCGGGAGAGCTTACCAAAAACACGTCCAGACTTTCGAGCTTTCTTTGATCGGCCGTTGAAAAATCGACAGGGGACACAGCGAATTTGGAATGTCTCGCGCTCGTCTCCATAGGTCTGGACGCACCATCGTATCGCTGATCGCCATTCGCAAATATATTCCAGATACGTATAGCGAACAAGTTCGCAACGTTAAATAATTTTGATATTTAATTTTTATCGTGATGGCTTTTTATGACAGTGTATACATAGAATTAATTGCATTTAATTTGCAATAGCACCTCGAACTCACAGTTTTGTTACGGAGCCAGATTAAATCAATCAGAATGAGTATTATGTTACCGTAAAAAGCCG